TGCGTGTTTGCTTACAACGTTGATGGCTTGAAGGACTTACAAAGTTATTAATGTTTGTTAATTGTTTCGATATCCCCTATGGAACGCCAGAATGTGAAGGAAACTTTGGAAACAGCCGCTACGAAACCCTTTTACTTTAGTGTGTATTTGCATTTGGTGCTGTGTAAACTCATGTGTAAACCCATGTGTAAACTCTACATAGATGCGAAAAGATGTGCCTAATGTTATGTATTTTAGTTTCTCTCACATGTGTGGTGTTGGTGTTTATAATTTTGAACGTAGTTTTAAATATTTTTCAGTCATATCGCTACGATGTCTGCAATGTGGCAGTTTATAGTGATGTCTAGCACTGGGGTGTCATGCCGCAGACACGTAGCATGATGTCAGACCCAGTCACATTATCTGACACCAGGCCGACAAGTCCTAACACTAACCTCTTAATGCTGAGCGTCAAGCGAGGCATCTTTTAGTACCATTTTTGTATGTCTTTGGTATGACTCGACCAGGGATCGACCCCACGACCTCCCGCATTACAGTACATAATCAGTTTCATTTAAATGGGTTCTACATTATAAGACTCTAGTACGATGTCTTACTTTGTGTCCGGCCCTAAGTCAAATTCTACCATACAATCTTCCTCGTCAGATTAGGTAATATACAATACTTACTGCATAGGTTGTTTAAAATACACAAATTGTCATCCGGTTTTGGTCAATATTTATAACATTAGTACTTACAATTCTAATTGAACTGCCATCACGCTATGGGGTTCGCGTCTGCCTTGGTTTACATGATAGTTACAATTACAAATTCTCACTGCGTGGTAATTACTTCCATTCCGTTTAAGCCAAATATCGTTGGTTACCATACTGGGTGGTAATTAATTCCATTCCATTTAAGCCAAGTATCATTGGAGACCATGATGGGTGGTAGTTGCTTCCATTCTACATATGCCAGATATCATTTGAGACCATGCTGGTTTGTCATTACTACCATTTCATTGAAGCCAAATACCATTCGAGACCATGCTAAATGAATAATGGTAGCTACTTGTTCATACATTTCATCAAACTTTGTTATTTCAATGTTGAAGAAGAAAACGTTCACAATCAAAGTTCCTGTTTCGAATTGCCAATGTCACCTATTAGCCCTGAAGCAAATCTCATATTACGTTCCTGGTGTCTTTCTTTTAGATTTATCACAAGTGGGATACACGGTAATAGATATTAATAGCGCAGTGAATAAAAAGAAAAACACGTGTCCGATTACCTATCTAGACACTGCTGATGTTGATCAACCCTTACTAAACCATACATAGTGTAAGTAACTACGCGTGAGTTAAGTAATTAATGCCAGGATCAACATAACATCTGTTAATTAATATTAATCCCCAAAAATACGAGTCCATTGAATTGATATAAAAAGGAAATGTCAATGAAAGTACTAATAGAGACTGGCCCATACAACGTTGCAAAATTATTAATTATATACGAGTCTATTCAACCATTATAATAATCAATCAAACCAACAATATTGGATAATATCTGACAGCTGGCGTAAATTACTTCTAGGTTTGCTACCTAACATTTAATAATGCTTGTCAGCGCAGAAAATTATAAATTTTATCTGTCAGAATTTGTCCACAGTTTTACTCATTAATCTTTAAATGACTTCATCTAAAAGGTATACATTAATAATTCGAACGCACTTTCGACTTCTTTTCCATAACGGCCAAGTCAAATTGAATCAGTTATGGCAGAATGTTAATTTACGACTATCAAACATTTGTCCCATATGGTTTCTCGAGGAATTGTGTAGCTCCTAAAACAGACAGCGAACAATATATGTTCGTCCTTTTCGTCAGAAAGGTCAAATCATATTGAATCAAATTAGGCGTAAATAAACTTTGGGTCGTCTTGTATTAAAAGTGATATTCCCAATCGTTGACCTCTGTCCCACAATGGATGAACCAGTCTGATTCTTTCGTGTAGAAACTGTATTTAAAGGACCATCCCAAACGATCTTCTCCCTGGTATAGTTCCTACAGTGTTCCGTCCATTGAAACTTACATAGAACCGTTTCGACTTATTATTTAGGACAGCTAAGACCGTTCAGATTACACTTGACAGAATTTGTCCACAGTTTACTCATTAATCTTTAAATGACTTCATCTAAAAGGTATACATTAATAATTCGAACGCACTTTCGACTTCTTTGCCATAACGGCCAAGTCAGATTGAATCAGTTATGGCAGAATGTTAATTTACGACTATCAAACATTTGTCCCATATGGTTTCTCGAGGAATTGTGTAGCTCCTAAAACAGACAGCGAACAATATATGTTCGTCCTTTTCGTCAGAAAGGTCAAATCATATTGAATCAAATTAGGCGTAAATAAAATTTGGGTCGTCTTGTATTAAAAGTGATATTCCCAATCGTTGACCTCTGTCCCACAATGGATGAACCAGTCTGATTCTTTCGTGTAGAAACTGTATTTAAAGGACCATCCCAAACGATCTTCTCCCTGGTATAGTTCCTACAGTGTTCCGTCCATTGAAACTTACATAAAACCGTTTCGACCTATTATTTAGGACAGCTAAGACCGTTCAGATTACACTTGACAGAATTTGTCCACAGTTTACTCATTAATCTTTAAATGACTTCATCTAAAAGGTATACATTAATAATTCGAACGCACTTTCGACTTCTTTGCCATAACGGCCAAGTCAGATTGAATCAGTTATGGCAGAATGTTAATTTACGACTATCAAACATTTGTCCCATATGGTTTCTCGAGGAATTGTGTAGCTCCTAAAACAGACAGCGAACAATATATGTTCGTCCTTTTCGTCAGAAAGGTCAAATCATCTTGAATCAAATTAGGCGTAAATAAACTTTGGGTCGTCTTGTATTAAAAGTGATATTCCCAATCGTTGACCTCTGTCCCACAATGGATGAACCAGTCTGATTATTTCGTGTGGAAACTGTATTTAAAGGACCATCCCAAACGATCTTCTCCCTGGGATAGTTCCTACAGTGTTCCGTCCATTGAAACTTACATAAAACCGTTTCGACTTATTATTTAGGACAGCTAAGACCGTTCAGATTTACACTTGACAGAAATTGTCCTGTTACATTCTTGAACAAAATTTTATCTTCGAGTGCTACCAAAGTAATGGAGTGGTTTCTATAGCAACCAGGCGGAGAAAGCCTTTCGACCTCTTCTCTAGAACGGCTGATTTTCAGTCTTGGCATAAATGATATTAAAAATAAAAAGTATTAAAATTCTGTTCCAGGTGGTTCAGTGACAACGGTGTGGTTCCAATTAAACCAGGTTGAACTCGTATTCTTCGCTTGTTCACAAAGCAAACGTATTGTTCTAGATTTGTTATCTAAGATCAATGGCATATTACATATCGGTTGTTTGCAGCTATTGCCAACAAATACGATCAATATATAAGCATTCACTTTGGTATTATACTTTTTCAGTGTCTTTCAATGTACTACCGCGAGCCAGTTGAGTGACTTTAGACCATTCTTAGCTTCTTTATTGTATCATATATATTTCGTTAATAATAAAACCGCAGCAATTTCCCTTGCTAGAACCACTGCTCCTACTACCAACATAGCTCGTAATAATCTCCATGCTGCTAGTGCCATTACCATCTTCAGCGATGTAATTTAGTCAAGGGAAACAACTTCCACGAGGTTACTTAATCAATCAATTTTGTGTCCCTTGACCATTCTAGAAGTCAATAGATTATAGTTTGCCACTGATCTATGAAGCCTGTGTTTTGTTCTAAATATCATGTAGGATAATGTGAATATTTCCGACAAATAATAATGATGATGATGATGATGATGATGATGATGATGATGATGATGATGATGATGATGATGATGATGATGATGATGATGATGATGATGATGATGATGATGATACTTTTCTTCAAGGAGAAATATATGACCTCGCATGTGTCAGTTTTGAATTATATCATATTCTGTAACAAAGTGTAAAGCACCAAACTAATGCATACAGTTCTTAGTCTTTCTTAATAAAATGATTTTATCGAATGAAAAGTTAGCAGATAATATTATATCCAATGTATGATTTTTTCTGTCAATACAAAAACTATTTAGCATTATCAAATTATTGTGTGTCTGTTTGTGTGTGTGTGTGTGTGTGTGTGAGAGAGAGAGAGAGAGAGAGAGAGAGAGAGAGAGAGAGAGAGAGAGAGAGAGAGAGAGAGAGAGAGAGAGAGAGAGAGAGAGAGAGAGAGAGATTTATCGTAGCTTTAGCAATGTTTCAGTCAAATCGCTACGATGCCTGCATTGTGACGGTTTATAATGATGTCTAGCACTGGTGCATCATGCCACAGACATGTGGCATGATGTCCCACCCAGTCATATTATCCTGACACCAAGCCAAAAAGTCCTAACTCTAAACTTTTAATGTTGTGTGACAAGCGAGGCAGACATTATTATCAAGTGAGAACTAAATTATATATTGTGACTGCGTTGCAAGCACCCATCATTTAATATATCCATTGGAGAAATTACGTATTCTAAAATGAAGGACGAAAGCAAAATGGGTTATTTTCTAAATTACCAGCTCATTTTCTGTACCAAATAATCAACTTTGAGAAAGATAAAAAGAAAGAAAAACAAAATGCAAGTAAAGGTTTCAAGGTTTGTCTATTTTTGACAAATGTTGAACTACGAAGAGTCATTATTTAATTCTTATGCAAGAAAACGTGCTGATTCCCAAGTGTCACTCTTAGATCCTTTCCCTATCTCTCTATCTCTCTGTCTGTCTGTCTGCCTGTCTCTCATGCTACGGATGGATGGATGGATGGATGGATGGATGGATGGATGGATGGATGGATGGATGGATGGATGGATGGATGGATGGATGGATGCATGTGTGTGTGTGTGTATGTTTATCTAATAAATTTTACGAGGCCATAATAAAATACATCAATAGCCTACCCCCGTCTGCCAGGGTGGCATAGTGTTAAGAGCGTCAGCCTCGGATGCTGAGTGTGGCGGGTTCGAACCCCGGCTGAGTTGTTCCAAAGACCTTAAAAAATGGTACTAATAACTGCCTCGCTTGCCACTTAGCCTAAGAGGTTAGTGTTTGGACTGGTCGGCATGTGGTCAGGATAAAGTGACTGGATGGGACATCAGGGCACATGTCTGTGTCCTGATGCCCCAGTGCTAAACATCAATATAAACTGTCATACTGCAGACAGGGATATGACTGAAAAATTGTCAAAGCTGCATCAAAAATTCTAAAATCACACACACACATCCCTGCCTAGTCATTATCTTGAGTTGACAATGCATAATTTTGTTTGTTGTGGGGGGTAGTAAATGTGTTAGCGGTATCTTAATTTCTTATCTTTTAACTAACATGTTTTATTCCAACACAACACGATAATTATTTAAGGAATATCCCTTGTTTGCAAGCAACTCTGGAAACCCTTTTAGTAAGATTTTGTCGTAATAAAGTAAACTCTCTCTCTCTCTCTCTCTCTCTCTCTCTCTCTCTCTCTCTCTCTCTCTCTCTCTCTCTCTCTCTCTCTCTCTCTCTATATATATATATATATATATATATATATATATATATATATATATATATATATATATATATATATATATATATATATATATATAAGATCTATCTATTATCATCATACGATATGGCCTGATACTTTCAAACATTCTTTGGATGGAGCACCTAAGCTGCGTACATTTATGCGATTGTAAAATCCGGGCGACATCTGCTTTCGTTATCTTATCGCAGATTGGCCAATTCAGTCACACCATAAAGTCGGTGTCAGAAATTGTAACATTACTTCTCACTCGCTGTAAGAGACCACGCACCAGTCGAAAATATAGGTCAAGTATGTTTTACAGTCATTAAAAAAGTGTTTATCCAGCCAGTCCACGATATAACTATATTAACAAGCATATCTGGAACGGAAAACGTTTTACCGAACAAAATATTCTATCAATATAGTATTTATTGAACTAGGTGAATTGCAGGTATTGGGACGGGAACTAAAAAATAGTTTTAAAATAGTTGAAACAAATTGTATATGAAAATGCAAAAGTGTATATAAAAATTTTGGGATGCCGATGCGAATTTCGAACTCGCGACGTTTTGACCAATGTGGGTGTTTTTATCAAATATTGGTATAAAGAAATTATGCTATTGTTTCTACACCAGAAACTAGAAATATTACGTACGAATTATAACTTTTCGTTACAATGATATAATTAACTGCTATTAGGACGTTATATAAGTGTCTTATTTTGTAGTGGAGGGACCCCGAGTGGCCGAGTGGTCTAAAGCGCTATCCGTTACGGACCACTGCCATCTCACCTCTGTCTGCGTGAGTTCGAGTCTAGGATTCGGCGAATGTGGATATGTGAGAAATCTTGTCAGTAGCTTCTCGTGGGTCGGTGGTTCTTTCCGGTGATTTCCCGGTTTCTTCCGCCACCATTAATACTGGCCGCCATGAATCGTGTGCTGAAAAATGGCGTTAAGCTCAACAACAAAAAACAACAACAACATATTTTGTAGTGGTGATATACGAAATTATGAAATAAATGAAAAAAAAATTAAATTTGAAAATAAAAAGAAATTTTTGAATTGGGATGAGCGAGCTTAAAGAAAGTTTGAAGATGAAAATACAAAATTAAGTAAGAAATACTTGAGAATGCCGCTGCGTTTTCAAACTCGTCACCTTTTCAAGTGTTAGATTGTACAAAGGGCCGTACGTCAGAAAATTGAGGAAACGTAAAGAGATTCAGCTGCAATATAAGAACTAGTCTCAATACAATAAAGATATAGTCTCAGTTACATACAATATGTTAATTGGTGTATGCTTGTAATTACTTGCAGTATTATTCGTCTTAAATTCATGCCTCAATTTTGTTTCCCTTAAATGTCTTGGAAATTGATGTAGGAATTAATGCATTTCTTCTGAGGAGCCAATTATCTTTTTTAAACGATTTGCATCGTATCTGCTGAGAATTCATCTTATTACGCCTTTGTCAAAAACTCGTTAAATAGCAAAGTAACGTAGTTTGGACAAGGAGTGAAATCCAGCAATTAATTTATATAATTAAGATGCGAATTCGTATCAACCAAGAATCGATGGTGATATCTTCAGAAAAGTGTAAAGACTGACATTTCAGATAGTAATTGATACAGTCGGTTTAATGGTTATTACAAAGTTTCTATTTATGTTATCTTGCAGCAGGAAGGGAGTAAAATCTTGAGAAAAAAAAAACATTAATTTTATGACAATAATGTGATTTTGTATCAGGTGGCGAAATGAACATATTAGCTGAGTCCTGTCAAAATGCGATAATGCAAACTCTGACCTACAAAATAGCGGGAATATGTCTAATCCCAGGAGAACAAAACATCTTGACATTTAGACTGATTATTATATTTTTCTTTGAAGGAGAAAATAGTTTTGTACATGTGTTGCACAATGGAACGAGCACATTCAACAGACAACAGGTTGATGAGCAGAAGAGGCTAGAGGGACAGAGCGAGAGATGGAAAAACAAATGCCGATTCGTTATATCAACCAATTATACCCGTTTTATTTTTAATGTATTATTATTAGAAAAAATATTTCGCTCAGAGCAAATCATACATTAACATTGAATATATATATATATATATATATATATATATATATATATATATATATATATATATATATATATATATATATATATATATATATATATATATATATAAAGCATACAAATATAGAATATAAACAAATGTCTACGGTAACGAATGTATTGTCCAAGAAGCAATCTGAATAAAGGCAAAAAGATCAAATGTCATGGGGTGAATAATGTATGAGTTTTAAATAAGATGTACCAGTATCATTTTAACCTAAATTCTATCTCGTTTTCAGGTAAAGGTTCTTGCAAATAAATACACAATCATTTACTCTGTCTTCTATTTTATGTTATTTATTATCCTCCCTTTATTAGGAATATTCGAATACTGAATTTAACATGCGTCTATTAGTACACTTTTTTGACACAGATTCATCGTCAAAGGTCCATACTACTCAATTAAAGCGTGCTTATTACCATGACTGGTTCAGCCTCCTATTGGATTAGATCACAAATATAATTTTGAGTTCCTTTGAATGTAGCTTCCGGTCTATTTTCAGAGCGTTTTTTTTCCTTCTCATTTTTGTAAAAATACAATAGCTACATTGTGGCTTTATTTGTATTGTTTTAAATGAAAGTGCTTATTCTTTAGACTTTAAGCATTATGGTGTGTTTTTCTGTGTATGTGCTGTCGACAGTAGACTGTGAATAATGAGTCATTGATCATGATTGGCGGTGAAATCTGTGTACGGTGCTATGTTAATCGTCCAATCTCTAAATAAATGCCGGATAACTTGTGACAAAAACTTTACCGTGAGTTTATCTTAGAAGGTACTTTCAAAACTAGATTTGATTTATTATCATTGGACACAATGGAAAGTTTAGTATTTAGAAACAAAATTATAGAATATATAGTGAAATTAACTGTGAACTGATTCCTAATAGCAAGTGCCTCGCACATCAATCCACGTTCTTGTACTACCACTATACTATTTCACCATATTTCAAATATATAACATTCTCTACAGATTCATAGCCAATGCTGTGTATATCTGGATTTTTGTTAGTGTTAACCAACATATCAACTGCGAAGGACGATTATATCCTGCCTAGACAGTTATTATTGTTATTATTATTATTATTATTATTATTATTATTATTATTATTATTATTATTATTATTATTATTATTATTATTAATATATTATATATATATATATATATATATATATATATATATATATATATATATATATATATATATATATATATATATATATATATATATATATATATATATAGACATGCCTTTATACATATTATTATATTTCACTATTTCGAAGGCATTCAGTTTTGCTGAACTCTTATTACTCAAATCACAGTATTTAAGAGCGCACAGTATGAGCTAGAAAACCAAGCCGACACAATCCACCAAGGAATTCAGAAACTCGATAACCCTCGAATACGGTGAGGATTAATTATATCAAATTTACAAACGTATCTAAGCTTACACTGGTTTTCCATATATCAGGTTCAAGCACTAGGTGTGTCATCTGTTTTTATTACAGTTTACTAATGCAAATTTCCCGGTCTGTGCTTGCACTTGATTGTTGTGAACGTGATAAAGAATCTTCCTTATAAATATTTTTTATGTTCAAGGTTAAACTTTTTATTTGCCACCCTTAAAAAATGAAGATTTGTTAAAAATTTAACCAATAAATAACAAGATCAGATCTTCATAAAAAAGAATGTACAAAAATACATTTTTGTGATATTGATAACAGAATCATCAATTGTGATGTTTAATTTGAAAGTCAAATTACAGGCAGGCATACTGATATCCAATTCGATTAACCAACTACTACGACTACTACTACTATTACTGGGGCCCCGAGTGGCCGAGTGGTCTAAAGCGCTGTCCGTTACGGATCACTGCCATCTCACCTCTGTCTGCGTGGGTTCGAGTCTAGGATTCGGCGAATGTGGATATGTGAGAAAGCTTGCCAGTAGCTTCTCGTGGGTCGGTGGTTCTTTCCGGTGATTTCCCGGTTTCTTCCTCCACCATTAATACTGGTCGCCATGAATAGCCTATCATGTGCTGAAAAATGGCGTTAAGCACAACAACAACAACAACAACTACTATTACTACTACTACTACTGCAGCTATTACTACTACTACTACTGCAGCTATTAATACTACTACTACAAATAATAATAATAATAATAATAATAATAATAATAATAATAATAATAATAATAATAATAATAATAATAATAATAATAATAATAATAAATATCTAGAAAAAAGCCAATGGATTGCCTTTGAAAATTCCAGCCTTTTCACTACGTATTCTTTTTCTATCCCTAAGCACACACACCCAACTCCATTCAGTGACCCAAAGGTCGTGCATGTAAAAT